ATTCAAACGAAACGGCTATTTGTCCCTTCCTATTTGATATTCGGCTGTCTGCTTCATCGAGATATGTCTACTAGAAGTAGGTTACAAAAATATTGTGGCATTAAACCGGTTAAAACTGGTATACCGAAATTATTTATTTCGTTTTCAATCATGATCGAAAAATAAAAAATTCGTTTCCGTTTCCGTTTTCGTTCTTATAAATTATTCGGTTAATTTCATTCTTTCGTCCTCGTTTTTGTTCCGTTCTTAGTCCCTGGTTTGTAGCAAGCCATAACACCACTTACGAAGTGACGGACGTTAAAACTGTCTCGCAGAAGGGTTTTTTTTAAATTTTTGAAAGCTATTATGAACTTGGACGATTTAACCTTTAAGTATTTGATCCTATTTATTGATCCTTGTCATAAAATTTGCATTCTATCGCTCTCCCACATTAAGAAAGTAGGTATAGAATATAATCCGCTTTTATTCAGCACCAGCTCAAAGACATATTGTTGATTTAAGGTTCGATTAGAGTTTTATCGTCTGCCATGGTTTTGTTTTATAACTTGGAAGATGCTTAAAGCGAAAAACTTCCTAACTCGGTACAAACTTGGCAATATTTGGGACATTAACGAGGTTATTGTTTCACTCCGTGGCAAGACCATAATGGAACCGGATCTTTCAGAGGGATATACAACAACTTTCGGGTTTCAGACGCTCTCAGCATTTTTTTTTGTATGATTTTCGCAATGTTCGTGTTAAAAACTATTCCGTTACCTTTGTAGTGATAGCGAATAAAGTAATAAGTGTGTTGAAAAAGTTTTTCTCTCGTATTTCGTAAAGTCCAGTCAGAGGAATTGGGCAGTGACATCATAGCATGACACGTTTATTAGGTTCATTACTGGATGACATAAATTGACACAGAAATTTGTTGCTGATTTTAAATTTAACGGATAATTACATGGTTTTGAAAATGCACTAAAGATTTGGTGGAAAAGAACAAGCCGCACGCAGCAGGTATGAAAAAAAAAAATTGAAACCTCCTTGAATAACATAATTGTGGCACTGTTTCTTTATGCGTAAAGTCAAAAATCATAAGTTTTTCGAAAAAAATCATTTATTTTAATAACTACGTTTCCTCTCTTGTATTGATATTTCACATGGTTTATTAATCCATGGATTAAAGAGTTTGAAATTTTGTTGGAAAAAATGCAGTATTATAAATCGGAAACATCTAGGTAGTCCCTAAGTGTTTGCCTCTAAATAGGAAATTATTTCAAAATATAATCTAAAAAAATATAATAATAAAGTGGCCATCGCGTTTTGCCTCTTTCGCCTTATCATTGCCAATTTAATGCGATAGGTTAGTGAGATTGTAAACTCTATTATGATGCCAAAATAGTTAAATAATAATAATACTTCTGATCGAGTATTATTAACGCTTTGTTTCAGGTTATATTGTAGGCGCACAGACCGCTGGGCTTGGAAAAGGGAAAAGTTGATCGATGCATCTAATATTCTCCCAGCTGTTATCGATTTGCATGAACCAGACTCGGGGAAGATGTTTTTTCCGATTACGACTAGTTTTTGTTCCCCTTCGTTGCTCTTTGCGTTATGGGTTTTCATTGTTGAAGCATCGGCAGTTTTTCAATGATTGATATTTGTTTTTCCCCATATATTTCGTGCCTTCTATTTTGTTCGTTTATATTAATACGCCATTGAAACGAGTTGCCATAATCTCATTATAACAAAATATACCTGAGTAGTGTTGTCCCATTTATAACACGCTGGCTAAAGTCCACGTTGCAAAAACCCTTATAAAATATAATTCTAATTTAGTTTGTAGGATTAGGATTTTATGAAAATTGAATCATTGTCGTTACTTATTAGTGATAGTCCGCAATGGACTTATTTCAAAAAGGATGATCGGCGAAACGTCAGTAAGTTTGATTTTTATACAACCGAAGCAGAAGGAATCCAGAAGATATGCAAATAGTAAATTAAAAGGTTTGATAAATGTCACTTTAGTTACGAGTTTCTTTTGGCACGAGTGTGTCGTTTTACAAAGATTATATTGCATTGGGTAAATTTCTTTCTCAGTAACGAGATAATGGTCTCATAATCTCCAGCGAACTAGGAGATAATTCTCGCTACTAATAAAAGTGAAAAAAACTAACATTAAATCGAAAAATAAGCTCTCGACTATCTAATTTCTAAAACAGAATATCAGTATAGGGCTCTTGTTTCGGTATCGATAATAACATAAGAATAGAAGACTGGTTTGCACTTTTTCTATAAGTATTGCCGAGTTGCGGGAAGTGTCGAAAAATGCAACGTTTTCAACATCCACCCTGTATTTAAAAATCCACAATAATTATGACACATCCGTTTATGGCACCTCTCGTTTGATGAAAAAACGGGGTGTCAAACCTTAAAAAATGGGACACACTGCACATACATATTATTATTATCGTTATTTAAATAATCGAGTGACCTTCTGATACCACGTTTGAAAAATAAGATAGTAAAGTAATTAGTAACATGGTTGAAAATGTTTTAGTTTTGAAAATTTTGGAAAAAATGCTCAATGTTCGTTAAGTTGCAAATGTCTAGTGTAAAATATGGATTCTTATTTTTAATAACGCTTTTCGAAAAAAAAGATAGGAGTTAAAGTGGCATCTACCTAAATGAAACACCCAGTGCATTTTTTTAAAAACTTGAAATACGCTAATTTTTACCGCTTAACCATATTATTATAGTCGTTACTATTACAAAAAAACTGCGAAAAATAATGCACACCAAAAAACTGCTCAAATTCGAACAGAATTTCCGAATTCTTCATCTTTATCCACATTTTTATAATCAAATTTTGAAAAAACATGCATTTAGTTTAAAATATTTGACTAGTATCTCTAAATTTACGGTTTATAAAAAATCTGAGTGCGCCACTGAATCCTGAATTTGACATTTTATCCCAATTATCGAAAAATATTTGAATAAAATAAAACCAATTACAAGAATAATAATAGTATGTTAAATGGAACAAAATTAACATAGAAAACAAGTAATTTTTTTTAAAAATATTTAAACATTTACGTATTTTTTAAAAAAGTATAGAAAACAAAATCATTAGTGCTATCGCCGTGCAATGTACTTTGATTTTCCATTCCCTCATAGCCGCGGCTATGTATATCTTAAGCTCTTAGTGACGGCAAAGCTTTCTGCGAAGCTTTTTCCGCTTTTTATCCTTGAGTTTATTCCTTCATACGACTTTTGAAGGACTTTTATTAGGGTGTGCGTTATATATATAATCTTCTATTACTTGTTTAAGGCAGGAGATGTCAGTATAAGAGCGATCCGTTTTAAAGCTCCCCTGTTCTTCCTCTTCCATGGGACGGTATTCTTCCTCAATAAGGTACCTGAGTATTCGTCCAAAGCGAATTCAGTATGTATCAATTTCCTTGCATTTTCTGTCCCACATCTTTTTGGTTTATTATATTTGTTTTTCTTTTCCTCTGATTCGATCTCTTCATTCTCCCAAATTTTATTCCTGTTTCCTTCCTATTGCTAGTACTTCTTAAACCGTATCATGTAAGGAATTTATTATGTATATCTCTGGAACGGTCCTTCCCTCGTAACTCTCACGTTGTTGATCTGAAGTTTCGTTGCCTGTTTACCTGTGATGTAATCCAATACTGATTTTACATTTCTAGTGTTTTGCGTCCAGGTATAGCTGTGTATACTTTTATGTTTCAAAAAACCATTTGAGATCTTCAAATCATTATATTGGCAAAGATCGATGAGCCTTTGTCCATTATCGTTAACATCATCTTCCGCAAATGGACCAACCACTATCTCATCCCTCCGATAGGATGATCGCCCTTGTGATGCTTACTTGTGTTTTCAGATGGTGCATTTTGTTAAAAAACTCTTCCTTTAACGCTGCTTTCATCACCTGATGATCGCAGCTTATGATATTCCTCTTCCATTTCTCTTTTATGACACTCCTCTTTTAGCTCATTGTTGCATTCGTACCCCATTGTATAAGTTGTATTGCATATTGTTCGAATACTTCTGAACAAGTTGCTTACTTCTTTGCTTCTGTTACGGGTTCTAGTTTCTTTACGACTATTTTCAAATTTCCTATCAGTGCTTTATCGAAGCCGTCTTTTATTGAATCCGTGAGGGTTTCCGAGGCTTATTCTTGGTTTTTTAGAATTACGTTTGTTTTCTAGAAGATGAGGAGCTAGCCCATAAGTCCGCACCTTCTAGGACCAAGTATTTTTTGTTTGAGGTTACCTTCCTCTAGAATGGTTGTCGATCATGACTAGACAAACCATTGTTCCCCTTTTTGGAGGCTTGGGGCCTCATTAAACAATAAATATATTTTAAAAAACTTTATTCTACTTGATCAGATTTGTAAGTTATTTTTTTTCTATTTCTGCCTATATCTCAAAAAAAATCCAGCTATCTCTAATATTAACTGAGATATCCCGCATAGACAACGAAAGATGGACGCTTTACTGTACTGTTATGTCATGGGTAAAGATAAATTGAAAATTAAAGAATTTCTTCGTTTATTAGTTATGTATTATGTATGTATGTATGTATTAAAATAAAAACAAAAGTACCATTAATTTCATGTTATAAATTATTATCGCATTCGTTTGAAAAACTGTATAACGCAATTCGTTGTTCTGTTTCCATATTACAAAGTGCCAAAAACAATTTGCGCTAAACTTCAAATTTTCATGTACCGTGAAGTATTAATATTGCTGAAAAGTATTTTCAGTTTCTTTGAAAAAAGATCTAAATGTTAAAGAAAACCGCTGAGCTTGATATCTTTTTTCGAAGTGCCGGGAAAATATCAACAAAATACGAAAAATAAGTATCGGTATTGGTATCGGTAATAATGAAATGGAATAGTGGAAAAAATCCCACAGCTACAAATCAGGTGATGCTGATGGCCAGTTGCTTAACCCGTTTGACAACTTGAACAATAATATTTCTAATAAGTTTACCTGCATTCGGCTGGGGGACAGACGACGTAAAGCAGTCTGTTGTCGCTCAGACCTGTACCGTAGAGTATAGTCAGAGCGCATTCGTTCCCCGATTCGTGTGTGAGTCCGTATCTGCGGGCCGCCGCCGCCAGTTCCGCCTCCCTTTCGACGTCCCTGCCGCCCAGATGCACCTCTTTGATACACGTCAAGTCCAGAAAACTGGAAGATTACATCACGATAACTGTTTCAGTGTCGCGGTGTTGCCGGTTGTATCGAAAAGTAGGATTCTTTTAAATGAGACGATCTGGTGGCTTTGTGGCTTTGATAACCGTCTTCAGATTTACCATGGGTCTATTGATTTGGGAGATCAATGTGACACTGTTTAGACACTTTTCTAAGACGAGTAAGACAGCGTGTATGTTAGATCGCAAACCGCTTTAACATATTGGATTTTTAGATTTTCAGTTGACTAATGTCACGTAAGTGTATAAAAGATGTTATCACTAACACTTCGTAAACTTAGGTCTGAATTATTTATTTAACAATAAAATTAATAATTAACACATAAAAAACCGCACAAACGCATTGAAATATCAGAAGTGAACGTAAAGGACGACTTCCCAACAAGTCAGATGTTTTGTGCAAATTACCAACCACATAAAAAGTCAGAAAAGACTTCGTTCATTTAGTTAACGCTTGAACAACCTACAAGTTCGATAAAAATTAACAGAGAAAATCGCGGCAGAAACAATTTACATGCAATGTGATGTAATATCTAATTGCATAATTGGTTTAGTGTTTTCCGTACAACCCTAGCAAGTGTATTTCCGTTAATGTTTCTAAATGTATCCAAAACTCTTTACCGAGTGGTTTTGTTGGTTGGTTGGTTGGTAGCCCAATTTTTTCTGGGACTTCAGAGGACAAAATCCAAGTCGAAATGTCAGGGGATCTAGGAGCCCCAGATATCGGACCGCTAAAGACGTTACTGACTTGAATAGTGTTACGTTTATGTCTTTAATAAGAACAAATGCACTACTTATTAAAATACAACTTTGACAACACTTTGAATTTTTGAAACCAGAGCCCTGATTAGATAGAAAAAAGGTATATATTTCCCAAATCAATTGACCCATCCTAAATCTGAAGTCGGTTATCAAATGAATTAAGTTTCCTCTAAATCTTTGCTGTACCTTGCACATTGCACATTGTATCTCCAGAGGTTTTAAAGATATTAATTGTTCTTATAATTAATTATAGTACAGAAACTTTCAATTCTTATCGCTGGATTAGTTGAGAATATTTCGAAAATTTCCATTGGCATTTTGTCAGCATGTTCCCTGTAGAGCAACAACTTGTGCGATGTAACTAAATAAAAAAAGCTTTTATACAAAAGTGACAAGAAAGCGCAGTTTATTAAAGTTATGATTTTTAAATTAATTATTTAATTTTAGTAGTATAATTAAATCCCCTCCACTCATTTTAAAAAAATAAAAACTTCCTTCCTTCAATTTAAACAAGAAATCACCATTTTTTTAAACACCCTCTATAATATGTATAATCTTAGCAATTTAAAGTCAAACTCATCTGCACCTGACTCCAACTTAAATTCATACCAACAAAATAAATTCCTTATTCTTAAAGCTGTTCCGTTAGCATATACTTTGTATTATTGATGTTATAACATCGTTATAATATATTTTTATATTTAAGATAAGTGGTCCAGCCGGGGTTATATAAGAAACTTTTTTTTTTTTATAAGGGCGATCTACAGCGTTTTCTTAGAGGTCGGAAATGCAGACAATTTAAACATTACAAACATTAAAAAACGTACCTTTCTCATTTAAAATAAGATAGTTCGCACCTCTGAGAAGAAAACTATAAACTTGGTATTATTGTCCACATAGTCCATATAACATTGAAAAATTGAAAATCAAACTATTTGGTCCCTGCGTAATGTAAAAATGTAAAAATACACTATACTATTGGAAAGTTCAGAATGTTTGCTTGAGATTTTCTTACATTACTAAAAAATTTATAAATGATAGAAAATATTGTACAAAACTCTAAAAACCAATCAGTCGTTTCGCCAATCATCCTGTTGTTTTCTTCACAGTTTGACTGAAACTGGGTCGCATTTTACTCTGTACCTGATTTTATATTGTGAAGAAGCCCACAGGATGATTGGCGAAACGTAAGCTAGTTCGACTCAATAGAAACCGACGCCGGAAGAATCCAGAAGTTTTATAAAAAGTATTTGAGTAGCCTGTCGTTTCTTTGAAAAATTAATCAGTCGTCTTATTAGTCTAAAAAGTTTTTGAGGAGCTATATATAAGATAAAAACAGTTGCAGTAGATTTTTCAACGACTTGTTTTTCGTAATTACAATAAAAGGTTAAAAATATTTATTTTGTACGAATGTTTCTTGATTGTATAAATTAATGTCCATGAGCGTCGTCCAAGGTTAATTTTAAAAACTCTTTGGTGATACTTCGCCTATTATCATAAATTTATTGTAGAAATTGCAGAATTTGTTGCCTTTTGGATAACAAAGTATGTAAACCATGTTTTCGTATTTGATCTAAAAATACCGGAAACTTTCGAAATTCATCGAAATCGACCGATGACGATTGACAGCTCATCAAACGGTTTGTATGTTTCAAAATTTCGACAAATTTAGCGCTCACCCGTCGTCCAAGGTAGTACCGGCAGTTTGCTCGCCAGTACTTTGAAGCGCCAGCTTCGTCAGCTGTCCTGCGGCGAGCGTATCTTCCGGGTTAAAGGACAGATTGAAGTCCTGCGAGAACGGGTCGCAATCGTTGGAATTACCGGATTTTAGGGCCGACCAACTAGGTCGTACCCATGTCAGTACTGTGGAGGACCTGTCCAGACGCAAATACAAGAAGGCACCTTTGCTCGCCCCTTGGGTTTGGTTTTCCTGCCCTTCCCAAAGAACCACCGTACTACCGTGATGTAAAATCTGGAAATAGGACCTTGTTATAAGCGAGACCCACGTATTCCGGTCCTTCGTAAATACAACAAATGTCTTTGTTCATTTCTTATATCTCGTAGAAACAAAACCACTTTCCAAACAGAAACACAATTGTCGATGGTTGAGAGAATAATTAAATACCCATGTAGAGCATAAAAAAAGGGATACCACGAGTAGTTGGCGTATTTCCTTTCAGGAATGACGTCACGCTCGCTTCAAATAATGTATTTCTTATATTGAACGTGATATATCCAAATAATGCAAATAAGATCACAAGGCCTTACTAATATAAATTCTTTAATCTTCGCTTTATTTATTGTTTGCAACCTAAAAAATTGACGCCAATTACCCAATTTTATCAAAATTACTTTGTCTCAATTTTAACTTTAACTTCTTCACTATCTTCAGAATCAGAACTAAATTCCAAGATATCTTCATCGTTATTGCTGTCGTCTTCCGATCACATATTGTCTCCCAAGCTTCTTGATTACCTTCATTTATCGCTTTTTCTTACATCGCCAAAACTTCCTCGAGACTAGCAATATATTGGTCCTATTTTTTTACACTCAGACTATACAATTTATTAGTCATAGACTTTGTATTTTATGATCTCAAGATTTGGGAAGTGAATGTTCTTTTAACCATAGAATCAACCTCTGTTTTGTCCATAAGTTTCATGGAATATCCTCTAAAAGGCCGGAACGAAAGGTGCGATCCCCATTACTATCAATTATTTTCGAGGAAGATTTGGTACCAGCTGATTTTTAAACCAATGTACACAATTTTGCATGTTCATATTTTGTCATTATAATCTCCGCTTTTTAGTCCACTTTTAAATATTTAATTGGCACTCTTAATAAATCCTTCGTTTGATCCAGCGTGAATCATATCGATGACCTTCACTGTACACAGTATGATCCTCTCAGCTGTTTTACGAAACACTGAAGTCTAAATACGGGCGCATGCTCTCCTAAATTGTGATTTTTAATGTATTCCCACAAGAAATTGATGCGTTTGTAGATAATGTAACATATATCCATCAGGTATTTTCTATTATTTGATTTCTTCTACTTAAAACCAATACTTTTTTCGTATTTTCTTAGCGATCTAATGGAAAAATTAAAATATTAATTTGTCCTTTTTAGTTTTCTAAGCTCTCTGCATTGTAACCTATTGATTTCTACATGTATACATGCAGTATGTCTTGATTTGTTGTTTCAGTAATCTGTTTTGTTTCACTTCTGACATTCTGGAGGTAAAGGATCCATCTCTCTTTTCTTACTATTTATGATTGATTATTGTATAGTTAAGTTCTGTTGCATTTGAAGCGAGTTCAATTATATTATCAATATGAGGAACGATTCCATTTTTAGCTTGATCTTTGTCTAATTGAAAAAAAGCCAAGATTTAAAACTATTATTATTCTATCTTCGCGGCATCTTGCAATCAATCACCAAAAATCAATGTCAATTTGAAGGAATATATTCGGAAAGACGCAACCAAAACAGGCATTGAATGTTATAAAGAAACGACGACGATTTTTTAAAACTTTTTTGTGTCTGTCAATTGATATAGATTAAGCAAAAATAACCAAAAATGACGTCATTCCAGAGAGGTAAAAGTTATTAACTACAAAATTTCTCTTTTATTTTTTAAAAATATGTACGCACTTTTTCTCAGAAACGCGTAAATAAATAATAAAAAAACAAATTAATAATTAATATGTCTAAACGGTTGTTTGCCGCGAGAAACAAATATCAAATATTATTTCCCTGTTTTTTTTTGGGGGATTGGATCGACTTTTGGTTTATTTTATTTTTCTTCTTTTGAGGAACAATGGCTGGATTTTAAAGCTTTAAAAACATAAAAAATTTAATGTAAAAAAAATCAATAAAATAAGTTGGCGATGATAATGATAATATATCAGACAATTAAACACACTCGTTCCTATCTCGAAAAGCAATTGGGTTGAAAAACTTATGACCAGTGTAATTTTTGAGAAATAGTCTTATAATGTTGGAACATTCGAAAATAAACCTCAAAAACTTAGAAACTTCTTGCGTATCACCGCTAGAGGGCGTTTTACGAAATCACTATAAATGATTTATTCATTAAAACATTAACTAACGAACCTAAACTGAATCTAGTATATCAGTAAAAGAATGTCCAAGCTTTCGGATTTTTTTTTGTATATAAATTTGTTGTTAAAATATAAAAGCTATATTTAAAATGTCGATAAATAATGCTTATGAAATATGAATATCCCCAACCGGTTAAGTTTTAATCATAATAATGTGGATGCTATTAAAATGTATTTCGGTGGCCATATTTGTAAAGAATGCCCTTTTCAACTGTAGGAGGCTTTTAAATGTTTTGTGTTTATTTTAAAAACATTAAACACGCAACTGAATCACTGCGATGAGGCATTGTACATTAGAACGATCTTAGCAAGGATCTTAATAATTTATCTGTGTTTCTTATTAATAATATATTAATATTACATGAATATTAATTATTATCGACATTTTAAATATAATGTTGACGTTTTAAGAGTAAATCTATATATATTTTGCTAAAAGACTAAATATCAGTATTTAAAAATGACAGATAAGGAGAAAATATTCCCAAAGATGGCGATGATATTTTGTTTTTATTTTTTTTACTGCAAGTAATCGAAAAGTTTGGTAAAATTAGAAGAAACTAACCATACGAAAATTTGTATTTCTAGTTACTCGTCTTGCGAAGCTTTGAAACCTAATTAAATGTTTTAATTAATGTGTTCGTTGATTAAATTAATTAAAAACGGTTAGTGGCTCGATAAAAAATTAGGTCAAGGTCATTTTTTCTATCGTGCGAAAAGGATATCCAGAAGGAACTTACTTTCTTGCTATATTTAATTTATTTATTTATTTATCTTGTTGACCTTGTTTTTGAGATACATGGAGAAACTGTGTCGTGGTGAGATGGTGCTTAGAAGCTTCATTTTTAAAAATATATGATTTTTAAATTACGTTTTTTTAAATGCAATACTATGCGTATATTTTTTGTGATTTCGCTTTTTACATGCTATTCAACAATGTATAATTGTCTCGATATGAAATATACATATGTCTTGACATTTTAGAAAATATGCTTTGTTACTATGAGTTAAAAAAAAACTAATTAGATTACGCTTTGAAAATGTTGGTAATGCTTTTGACCAGAAAGCAATACGTCATGAACTCCGACAATAATGTAATCTAAAATAGTCTTTCTAAATATATTGTAGAATTTTAGGGAAGCAAATCAACAAATGTGAATATGCATACTTATTTTTGAAAATATTAGCAAACTAATACACATGTTTAGAAAGCGCATCATAACTTTTGGCTGTATAAAACTTAAAATTTAAGAATCTGACTACGGCACTGAATTCTGGATTCTACGATCTAAATAATGCAAAAAATGAATAGTGCTTGGTCGAAATTAGTTTCAGCAGTTTTTAGTTCGTTTAATACTACGGTTGTTTTTAAATGAAAATTAAAAAAAAAATAACTATGAAAATTATGACATGTTTGTAAAAAAAGGTTCCATAAGCTAGTTCTGTCACATTTAACACCGGTTTCATCTTTTTGAAGCCTCCTAATTAAGATATCTAATGTGGGCACGCTTTGTTCCTCGTATAACTAGTAAATTTTACGCCGTATTACATCTTGATCACTTTCATCTACACTCGAAAAAATGTCAGCATCGCTTCTTTTTTTCCTTGCTGTAATGGGACTATTCACAATTTTCCATACAGTTAATGTTGGAATTTTCGTCAATGTGACCGTTTCTTCTAAAGATGTTTGCTTAATTCGCACACGATTCAACACACGCTATATTACACACGAAATAAGAATGATTACTAATAAATTTAAACTGAGTAGTATACCAAACCAAAGAATATTAAACACAGGTAGGTATTTTCTATTACGGACCAAAATTTTACCTGAATTTAAATTCTGAAACTTTAGGTAATAATCTTGTTGCATTGCATGTTAATAACCACCCTGGGATAATCCCGTCACTTTCTTATATCTATGAACAGACCATATATTTTACACTATGCAAGAAAAAACCCAAGAAGCTTCGGAATTATATTACCACAGGCAAGGTTTTTAATGGGAAATAAGTCAATATAATTTTTATGTTATAGAAATGTGTTTAGTTTATATTAGATATCTAGAGAAATGACAACCGGTTGCAGATATACTTCCTCGTATGCGAATAAATCGCGTTAGACACATGTCCTTTATATAACCAAGTCCTAAAAATAATTTGAAGGAGAATAGGGACAAATCTATTAGCTTACAAGACCGTCATCATTTTGTAAACACATAGAACGCGTGTTCTATTGGTAACCCTACTGCTAACCAAAATCGACTGCCCAAAGAATTAAAAAAAAAATTGAAATAACATCTATACAAGAGTTAAGAATGTTCAACATTTGCATCCTGGTGATGCCAAGCGTCGGATGCAGTTTTATCGCTGGTATTTCCAACTATTTTTACTTTTAAAACCATTTGTAGATGACGACTTTTCTCAAAAACGGGTAGATACCAACGGACCTACAAGATGGCCTCGACGATCTCCGCATTTTTCAGTTTTAGATCTATTTTTATGGGGATATATGCACAATAAAGTATGTAAAACAAGATACGAGTCTATAGGAGAACTTCTAGGGGCAATTGATTGAACTTTCGAAACTCTGCGATGGAAACCAATAATTCTTTTAAATGCCATTAAAAAATAAGAAAAATGTGAGAGTTTTGCATTCTAATCTGCAATTTGAACAAGTTTTAGGTACAATATCATGTTGATATTCATTTGATATAATGTTATTTCGTATTAATTATTGTAGTAATACACTATAAGTTGAAAATTATTACAAATAGTAGTTCATAACGTATAAAATATATACAAATAATTGAATTTTAAAGCATCGAGTTTCTCGTATGTTAAAAATTGTTTACTTGGATATTGTTTCTAATGGATTAATCATAGCCTGCAGCTACAAATAAAATAAAATATGAAAAAAATTAAATTTTGACTTAATAATAATATATATTTCTGAAAAGCGTAAATGATTTCCAATTAATATTAAAAACAATATATACTGTGTTCCATTAAAAAATATATTTTTTTGCTTTAGAAACAAAAAGAAACAAACTACACCACTGGATTCTACGTAAAAAATTCTTTAAGGATGTTTTTCAAACTTTTCAAAAACTTAAAAGACAACGGGTGGTCTCAAAATCGATAGTTTTAGATTTCACCCTGTATCTGAAAAACCAAAAGGGCCATGACAATTTGTTGACGGCATGTCTAAATTCACGAAAAAGTAGCTTAGTGTCGTGTCAACCGCGACTCATTGTCTTTAAGAATAACTGAGATACCCCATAGAAATGCCCAACATGGGGTATCCGGTACAGAGTGATTAGTTAGTAAATTCGCGTTTGAGGTGTAGCGAGGAGATTTAAAAATCGTACCTGCATGACATGTTGATCGACTTTCGTGTGCGACGATGAAAGACAAACGAAACTGACCCCGTGGTCGTGCACTAGTGGTTGAACCGGGTGGTAGTCGTCCACGTCGATTTCGTACTCAGTGTCCAGTTCGTTTTTGAGGGGAGGGGCGGCGGCTAAGACTCGAGGTTCGCTAATTGCAGAAGATCTGCGAGAAGAAGAACGCAGCATATAAATTAACACTTCCACAATTTGCACTTAATATCGCTTTGTTTGTTTGTAATATACTTGTGTTATTGTACTTGATGGAATTTGGTACTTTATATATCACGCGGCTGTGTGTGTATTTTTATTTTATTTTATTTATTATTTCAACTCGTGTTGTAGTGCGATAATTAACCACTTAGTCTCTTTTCCATTTGTGTGCGTGCGTGTGCGTAATTTTAATATTGATAGTTATTTTGTATAACATATAACATTATGTATAAATATTATCTTATTATATTAACATAATATGGACACTATGAACTTGCGTGCACGTACCATGGTGCTGAACATATTTTTGCAAATTCCAAGATCTAACAGGTTACAAAACAATACAATACAATTCGTGGCCACTATATATCGCTCAAAATTATTTTTTGTTTTAAATATTATAACATTTAAGGATTATTAACTACAAAAGAAACAAAAGGAACGAATTTTAAAGAACTAATTACTAAGCATAGAATCAAGTAATGTTATTATTTATTAGCCACAAATTGTTTATTTTTAAATTCCGTAAGATAGGGTTAAAATTTATGCATTAAAAGAAACAAAAACTAGATGTTTATTGGAAGTATTTATTACTCATATAATTTTTAATAATTTCTGTTATAATAAAAACTGTTATGTTGGCGAGATGTTATACTACATCTTGGTAAAGTAATTTTTAATTGCATGGAGTTGTAGACAGATGATGTAAGACTGAGAAATCTTCTGCTAGGTAAACAAACTAATTAAATTCACAAATATTTTGTAATTTTCTCTTTCTGCATGTGGCCAAACTTGGCCGAAAACTAAATTAAAAACTGTTATACGAATTTTATAAATTAAATTGTCATTTATTAGGTTAAGTGGGGCTTAAAGAAACACAACCAGAAGGCGGGATATCTAGAAACATGCCTCGCAATTAACGACCTAGTGGACGGAAATTAAAGATAAACCCGTGCACAGATGTAGTTAAACAAGCAGTGCATGAAATAAAATATAATAATTTAAGTTTTCATGATACAACCGATCTATAGAGAATCTTCTCAAAAATCTAAGTCAATTTCTGTCTACAATAATGTACATTAATCAAATTATAGACATTTTAAAATTAAAATGTTCTAGAAAACTTTGCTCAGAATTAGCTCTGGTTATTTTTATAAGTTAAAAATGTTGTTACCACAGAATTTTTGTTCATTTATAATAGAATTAATATTTATTAATATTTAATAATATTAATATATATATATATATATATATATATATATATATATATATATATATATATATATATATATATATATATATATATATATATATATATTAATATTATTAAATATTAATAAATATTAATATATATATATATATATATATATATATATATATATATATATATATATATATATTAATATATATATATTATTATATATTATATTAATATATATATATATATATATATATATATATATATATATATATATATATATATATATATATATATATATATATATATATATATATATATATATATATTAATATAATATATAATAATATATATATATTAATATATATATATATATATATATATATATATATATATATATATATATATATATATATATATATATATATATATATATATATATATATATATATATATATATATATATATATATATACAGAAATTTTGCTATTTTGCTTAACTCGTTTTTTTATACAATAACATATACTTTAAATTATACTGCTGCTTTTCAAACATAACTCGGTAATATAGAAATATGCATTAACAAGGCAAGGCAAAAAAAGAAAACTTTTATTGTCCCAACTTTTGCATAAATTTCAATTTGTAATCGAAGACTGGGTTTTAAAGCAGTAATCATTAATTGTTAAAATTCTATACAATAAAACGTATACAAAGCTGTTTCTATTAACCCCATCTTACGGTACATTGTTACATGTTTCAAATTCTAATGTAATTGCAGCTTGTTATTACCTTGAGTAATCGGCCTTTGAATACCAATACCAAAAATAATTATTGTAACGAACTGAAGAGTTCTTTCACGCTAGCTATTGGTACAGAGTGGTCCATTTAAGATGCTCCTATACCTTAACTCATTAAGTACGACCCTGAGCAAAATAAGTTAAATACAAAATGTGTTTGACCCTAAGTATATATTTTATTTATAGTATTTTTATGCACACAGCGTGTTCGGTTCCAGGACAGTAACCAATTTTATTTTTTAAATGGAATGCTGTGAATATTTTTAAAAATTCTAATTATTATTTGCTTAATTTTGAGTATCTTTTGGTCATTACATAGTATTCGAAATTTTGAGAAAAATGATCTTTCCAGTTTGTTGCGGAGAAGCAAAACTGGTGCTTTTTTTACACTTGAAGACTAAAATTGGGAATTTTTATTAGGGATCTATAGAAGTGGTTAATATTTAATGCTTTGACCTATCTACCTCTCTATTGCGAACATATATTATACAGGCTGGTCACAAATTACCATCAAAAAAATTATTTAGTAATTTAAAAAATTCGATTTTTTTTAGATGGAACACCCTATATTTTGCACTTTTATTACAAACATTGGTAGTCTAAAAGTTATGGCCAATTTTCTGCAACAACTCGTGTATTTTCAAATTTAATAAAAAAAAATATTTATATATTTATTTATTAATATAAAATATAAAATTATAAATATAAATTAAAAAAATAAAATTAAATTAAATATATTAATATAAAAAATTATAAAGCTGGTTACTATCCTGCCACAACCAAACATCTTTTATACATAAAAATACTATAAATAAAGCATGTACTTAAGGTCAAACACTTCTTGTATTGAACATTTTTGCCTCAGTCTCGTACTTATGTACACTGTACTCTATAAATTTAACTCCTCATTCCGAACTTACTTGAGATAATCTATGAGTCTGACGGTGGGCGAGAGACGATTTCTGGTATGATAATGTTGGTGGCACAAGGAGATATGGTCCATGACAGCCTGTGTTTTGTACATCTGTTCTATGTTTATAAGGCCTCCGGGTCCTATTTTCGTGAAGCGATGATCTTCGCCGTTGTAATCCGATATGAACTGCGAACAGACGAAATATTTCTTCTCATTTTGCCGCGTTTTGCAATAACTTCGAACCGTCTATCAAGATAATCCAGATGATGCAGATAAATATTGAGAAAAAATAGAAAATATTTCTAAAAACGTTTTTTTTTATTTTATTAATTTTGAATAAATATTATTTTTTATATAGTATCAAAATTTCTCAATAGAGTAAAACACTGGCACCGAGATAATAACAAATATCATAATAATTGTCAACTATAACAAGCCAATAAGTTCCGACGCTGGAAGAATCGAAAAGATTTGTAAGTATTATTTATATGTTTCTTAAAAAACATAACAAGAATTAACCCTGCATCTTTCCATAAAAATACACCATATAAATTTATCGTTACAAATTCATAATTATAAATAATAAATTTCCAGGTTCATTTTCAAAATTGCAGAAAAAATATTGTTGTATCTCTTGTATTCGTTGTACAGTAGTTAGGTTTTCTGTTCTTCTTCTGAGCACCATTTACAATTTGTTGAAAATACAGTAGACTCGTGGTATAGTGTACACGCTGTATAGTGAACTACTCTAAATAGTGAACAGAGAATGTATTTGTTGTTCGACAAGCACAGGAAACCTTTTATGTAACTGGATCAAAATCAACTTATTTCATGTGTGTTAAATGTGTGACAAAGTTCCTGTGTAGTCAAAATCTGCAAATTAACGCTGTCCTATTGTTCCTGAGGAGGTAAAAAGTGATGATGGCTCCATTTTTACTCTTTACATGCCACCTGACCTTACTTTATTGATACAACCGATGGATCAAGATGCGATAGGGGAAACCTTGAAACCTCTTTCTTTAAAAGACGCTGTTGTGAATTTGCCCCTGGCATAGAAAAATTTAAAGCCCGAAGTTATAAAAAAACGTTGGCACAATCTACTTTCCCCATTAACCAATAAAGATTGAGGAAGTTGATACACTAAGATCAGAAATTGTTGATTTACTAAAAACAGCCAATCCCGGAGTTAACACTAACACCATATGATGCCCAAAAAAGGTATATGAAACACAAAAATTACCTCATTATTCGATAAAAAAGAATAAACTACATTTTTAATAGTAGTTCCATATAGTGATCCAGTGAACTTCACTATTTCGCGAGTCTACTATGTTAACTTACATTATTCTAACTGCAATATTATATTTCATTTAAAAAACACCTAGACGCTTTACAAACTCCTCTTTTTGTAATTGTATATCATCCATTTATATTCATTTATTAAGATTATCTATATGTCAATTTTTTTATTCAAACACCATATAATAAGTTTGTCAATTTGTTTCTAAAATTCATTGTAACATTGGGACTTATTATTCCCAATTCCCAAATTCCTGTTTATTCCTTAGATTAAGCTGACAAGTATATAAATACAGCGTTTAAAATTTTTGGTAACTCGACGATGAATTTTTAACATTTGGTCTACTCAATAGGATTTGGTACCTACATCAATGTTTTGACAAATTTAATAATTTTTTCGGTTCCAAAAACAGCTATTGAAATGCATTTTAGAATTTGTTCGCATTCAAATGTACCCAAAATTAACAGACATTGGCATTTTTTTCTTACATTTTAAAGATAGAATTTTAAGAAAATAACATTTAAGAAAATAAGAACTAAAAGTTCAGATTTTCACGAAACTATATATTTTCACATAATAATTCTTTGGACAACACCGTCATCAAATGTAATAAATTAAATTGTAAATTGGTTAAGGCTTTCGCGGCCCGTTGATGAGCTATTATCTTGATTCGGGTTTAAAGGCCGTCGTCGGTTAGAATCACTTCCTAACGTTTCGCTAGCACGAGTGGCGAGCTTCTTCAGAGGTCCTTCCATCTCCGATGTTAGACGTAGACTGATGATTTCTCCTGCGCAGGTTGTATTTATGCCGATTGGTGGTGGGCGGGGCTTGTTTCGCTTCGGTTGGTCTCGGGATATCGATCGGTACTGCTCGGGCGCTCCTAAGGATCGGGTTCCAGATTTGGTTGAGTCTAAGGGTCTCCTCCTTTCTGTTGAAATTGTGTGGGTGTTTTTGTATCTCAATGGCTTCCCTGACTAGTCTGTTGTGATTGCCGTTGACCGATGCTAGTAACTTACAGCTCTCAAAGTGTATCCTGTGTTCCCCGCTGCCCAGTGCGTGTTGAGCTACTGCAGACTTCTCTGTCTGTCCTAGCCTGCAGCTTGCTTTATGCTCCTTAAGTCTCGTTCCCATTGATCTCTTGGTAGTTCCGATGTAGACCTTTCCGCATAAACACGGAATGCGGTAGACTCCTGCAGCTGAAAGTGAGTCCCTCGTGTCCTTCGCTGACCTGATGGTCTGCTGGATTTTCTTTGTAGGCTTAAAGATTGTTTTGATGTCGTGTCTTTTCAATACTCTGCCAATCCTGTCGGTGACACTCGGAATATACGGCAGATATGCGTGGGAGGTGGAGGGTCGTTGCTCGGTATCCCGTGATCTTGATGATCTTGAGTTCATTGATCTCTCGATCTCTCTCTTGCTGTAGCCATTTGCCTCGAACGCAGTTTTCAGGTGTTCAAGTTCCATCTGGAGGTTCTCCGGTTCGCAAATCCTTCGGGCTCGTTCTGTCAGGGTTCTAATAACCCCATACTTTTGGCTTGGGTGATGGTTGGATAGAGCATGCAGGTATCTGTCCGTATGGGTTGGTTTTCTGTACACTGTGTGGCCCAGCTTGTTACCTCGCTTCCTCACTAGTACGTCTAAGAATGCAAGTTGTTGGTCCTTTTCAGTCTCTATAGTAAACTGGATGCTGGGATGCTGACTGTTGAGATGCTGCAGAAAGTTGTTGAGCTTGTCCATACCATGTTTCCCTGGTTCCGGTACGTGGATGACACCTTCGTGATTTGGATCCATTGCAAAAACTGAATGGTATAAACACTTTACATATTCGATTTTTAAAAATAATTAAAATATATTCGAAATCACAACAGTCCAATATGGCGTGGGTAAGAAAAATAAGTTGATGAAGGCTTAAGGAAAATTAAACGAGTTAAGGGAAATTTGACTTCAACAAAAGATGAGGCCGTTTGCAGTAGCTTTGTGACATCAGATTATGAAACTCTCTATACATTTTGTGGAACAATATGTAACAAAGTATATCCATATACCGAAACGACCAGAGCGTCCTTTATTAATTTTATCTGCGGACGAAAAAGTTCTTCTCGAGCAATTAGGTAATTGAGTCTTGGTCTGGGAAGATTGAGTTAGTTCGTGGTTGCCCGCACAATTCGTCAAGTAAATGAATTAGATGGTCATTACATTTTATACTTTAATTAGTTGACGAGTTAAGGTAAAAGAAAATATTCCCGCAAAAGTGCGAGACACCACACTCCAGTCCGTAAGTAGAGTTTAAAGAACCATTTAAAACGTTTTTTTTTTCATTATTGAGAGTATCAAATCGTAATGGTTAAGTAGAGTGGCATTTTTCAATAACATTTTTCAACTGATAGTTATCCTATTTTCTTCATATTGTTAAAACTTGTACCCCAATATTAAATTATTTACAATTGAAGAAAGTTCTGGATATAATAAGCACAGAGTATATTACGCTGGATCAACCGTAACCAGAAAAGTTTATGTGGAAAATCGGAACCACCCTTGAACAAACCAAAAGAAGCCAACAAACAATATGACCACAACGGAGGGAAAAGCAACAAAGGACCTGAAACAAGAGAAAACTATTAATGTAATTCCAGATGATAAAGGAAATGCTACCGTAATTCTGAATACCACTGGTTACGATGACAAAACGGACAAAGCATTGACAGATGGAAAATATAGGTTACTAATTAAGGACCCAACAGCGTCACTGGAAGGAAGAATTTACAGAATAATTATTAGGCCGAAGTTTCAAGAAGATTCAACGTTGTCAGAAACTATCACTCGAAGGCAGCATGGACCTATAGGATTTTTGCCTACATTTGCACAAGACGATGGTTTGCCGATGAGACCTTGAAGAAGCTATTAAATCAACAATTAACAAACCTAACGTCGGCTAAAATACGTCGACGATACCGTCATAATATGAGAAAAAGTCTGGGAATAGCTAGAACTTTTCCTGGAACAAATTAATGGCATCACTGCGCCAATAAAATGGAGAAAGAGAAAAACGCAGGAATACCATTGCTCGATGTCTTGTTCCCGAGATCGGATTCAGTTCAGGTTAATACCTCTGTGTACAGATAACCCACACATGCAAGCCAATACCTAAACGCATCATCCAAGCACTCAGCAACAACTAACTTAGGAATAATCCAATCACTGTACAAAATGGCAAAGACTATCTGCAGCAACCAAGCTCTAGTTAACCGAGAAGTTGAATGAATTAACGAAGACCTAATGCAGAACGGTTATTGAAAGAGACTGAGTGAAGACGTCACTACTCGATACCAGTCAGCACATAAATCAGAGCTAAGCCAAAACCAACTAATGACCATTCCTTTTGCTAAAAGAGTCTCCGAAAAGATCAGGAAATTGTAACAAAATGCAACGTCAAAACCGCCATCCGCTTCGGACAAACAATAAGAAGTTTAAGAACGAAAACAAAACCAGAAAACATCACAGACAACAAAAACTGTATATATGAGAGTAGATGAATAAAGGGACATCCAGGCCCACATAACCTCACTTTTTGGCTTCCCGGCCCGGCCCACGCCTTGCTAGTGTGGAAATAGTATATTATGCTACAAATGTAGTAAATGGCATTTGAGTCACGTGTTTATTTGGCACGAGCAGAGCGAGTGTTTAATAAACGAGTGACTTGAATAGTTTACAAAACATAGTTTAGAAAACATCATATCGCTCCTAAGCCCGTGAGGTAATATCCCGGAAATGTCCGAACTGGCTCGGATCTGTGGGACAAGAAACTCACGTGGTAAAGTGACCCTTCCCGCATGCTAGATCGGTGTATACTTTGGTATTTTACAGAAGGGAGTAGAACTTTCTAGAT